ATGCCATCAAAGTTCTCGAAAGAGCTGCTCAGCTACAAGACACGAGGAGTGCTGCTGGTGGACTCGCAACGTCAAACTGCCCGGCTTATTCAAAGCCTTTGCTCTCTCAACGATGGGTAAATCCGAAGCAAGGCAATCCATTCCGGCGACGAGCGAACGCAACGTCGAGAAGCTCCACAAGAACTCCAGAAACATCGCCGGCACGGTCGAGCAGCTCCGGAAGGCACTGCAGAGCTTGGAAAATGGTCAGGGATGGCCGTTGACTGGAAGCAGCAAGTTGGATCCCTGGGAATATCTCAACTAATCGAACATGTTGGATTGACGAGCTCAAGAGGTATTGCATATCGGGGCAATGAGATTGCCGTGCACTCCTTATTTTGTCGGAGGAACCAGCCTCCATGATTTGCTCACGGAAATCCACAGTACTACAATCCAGCAAGCTTCAGAATCGACCAATTCCCATTTTCCCACGAGAGAGTGCCAATGACAATGCAATGGCTTCGCGGACAGCGGATGAAACAAGGAGGCAATTGTAAGCGCTTTGACTTTCACAAGGAAAGAACGCCCTTGAAAATTTCAATGCGAATCTCAAGGCGCTGCAGCATTAGAAACAAACATCCTCCAAACATTTCTCAATCTCTCACATGCACAGTCGGCAACAGTGAATCAGCAGAGCGGCGATTCCGGCGAGGTGAATTCAGCTTAAACTGAATTGTTCTGACGTTGCGGTAGCGTGGAATCTTGGATTTTGGTGGGCTCCCAAGGACGCAATATGTTGATGCAATATACGCACCAAGACGATTGTCCATGCATTCCTCGCAGCCGCCGAAAGGGAACATTCCCATCTTCCTGTATCAAGGTGCACGCAATGACGGCAATGTACAGTGCACTTGTGATGCCAGAAATCAAACTGGACAAGGAGGGAAAGAAAGAGTTTGAGAACTATCTGCAGGAGCTCAACAAGAAGAAAAGGGAAATAGAAAAGCAAGTGGCAGAAGACAAAGCATGGATTGTAAGCAGGCTGCATTGTTCTGTGCTTGGAACGAACACCAGCTGGTCGCCCACCCAGAGCTCCAGCAGTCTGGGCACGCCATCACAAGCTGGCGCCTTGTTGACTCTTATCTGTCGTCCCCTCGCAGCTTGCGAAAAGCCGCAAAAAGTCCGCTGAGGTGGTGTACGGTGGCGCAGGAGGGCTTTGAGAGGGACCAGGATTCTGGGGCTTTCGAGCAACAGTACAAGCGTCTGCTGGAACAAATTCAGAGGACGTACAACAAGGCGAAAGATTTTCATTCCAAGGTAATTGTCGCAAATTCTGTAGTCCAGCGACTGGATTGAAGCGCCTGCCTCGGCAGAAAGTTGTGCAAGGTTCAGTGTTTTACTGTACTCGTTTGTGACTCCTTTTCCTACATGGTTTGTGAACAAGGGTGTTCTTGGGCAACGACCGAAATACACGCCTGTTCGTCGCTGTGGCAGATTCTTCCCGAAACATCCAAGAAATTTTGTACGCCTTTGCTCCAACCCCAAACGCCAATGGAAGGCAATTTGTCCGGGGTCTATTGGTGTGCCATGCGAAAGTCGAGCTCCATTTGGGAGCAAGTGCCCGACAACAACCATGGATACCATCACCGCGGTGCTTTCTCATGATACCTACTTGATCACGCGCCTCAACGTACGCTGTATGGTTGCAGCTCGCTGCAAAATGAGCAGGCAATGAATCACAAATGCTATTTAATGAGAAAATATGCAAATTCAGCAGCGCATTGCATTTTTCTGCAGGGAATCGAGATGCTCATCCGCGAATTCGATTACCACATAGCATATAAGCGATGGAATGATACCTTCACGGCGGTTCCGTTCAAGCCCAGTTGAACGCACGTCCAGACCATCGGTCATATGATCAGGACCCAAATCAACGCAGCCCATCGCTCTTCAAGAGGCACCGACCATGGATCCCTAATTGCTGCCATGTTCGACGGACCATGGGCTACAAGAAATTGGTGTCACGACTGACGTGGCACAGAAGGCAACCCACAGGAGACAGTCTTTTATCCCTCGCTTTCCATGTTTCAATGGACTCCGCCGGAAGCTTCTACATTGCTTTCTCCCACCGTGATGCGGAAACTGGATACGGTCTGTGTCATCGTTGCTGGCCCACAGCCATAGTAACATCAGCCAAATTCCCCTGCAAGCGGAATGGTGCCCATCGTGCGGCCTCGGGCCATCAGCGTCGGCTGCCTCGTAATGTGTTCATGGCCAATGAGATCAGTGTCCTCGTTGCACGGCAAAGCCTTCCTTTCGGCAGCCCGGGTGCATGTCTTACGGCTCAGCACATAACAACCTGGACGGAGATACTGCAGAACAAGAGCCTGACAAGGACACAAGCCCCAAGTGATTATATGCATCCGCATCTACCGCACTGCCTGCAATGTGGCTGAGCGCCGACCTTGCGCCTCGTGGATGATACCAGGCACCCACAGTATCCCGCAGCTATTGGCACACTGAGCTGCGCTGGCATGGCGCATGGCGCTTTCATTTGTCTCATGGGCCGTGTGGGGAGTGTTGCCTTACCGGTGTTGGTGATGAAGCAGCACTCGTTGTGAACATGCAGTCCTCATGTTGCTAATATCACCAACGGTAACATACAGCAATAACTCAGCATGAGTGGTGTAAACAGGGATTCCCAAAAGGGGCAGGATGAAGAGATGGATGCAAATGTTGGCTCATGGATACTACCGTGCATTGGGCCACTGACCCAACAAGCGCGTGGGGAATTCTTGGGAAAATTAAGCCTCAGAATGGGAATAATGACATAGAAGAGCAGAGAGTAGACTACCCAGACCAAAAATATTGGCATGAAATGTCTAAATTCAGCAACTTTGCTACATTGGATAACTCACGGTCCTATTCACAGCACTTACAACACCATCCAAGGTCCCTCAGAAACTTCCCAGCAGCCTGCACGTGATCAACAACAGAATAGCGCTTTGCCCCACCAGCTAGAGTAGGCGGAAAGATTTAAGGCGTGAGAACAAGCGCTAACCAGCAGCCCATCAAACCTCATCATGGCAGCACCACAGGGCCAGTACTACAAGGTTGATGCTAACAGCAGGTCATAAATATTGTGATGTCCGCGCGACAAGCTCCCTGGGCGCGAGGAATAGACAGCCAAAGATGTTGCTACAAAATGGATTCCAAACCTGTACGTAAGACTCTCTCCATTCCCTTTTCACCAAAAACTATTCACCAAGTTAAATATCCCCCTCACAGTCTTCATCAACGTACAGTAAAATATTCAATACTTCTGCACAGTAACGTAATACTTGGCCATTTTTGCAGAGAAAATATAGTACACAATAATGCAAGCTCCCCCATTTTGTTTTGCGAAGCAATGCAAAACAAATAAAAATAACTCTCTGAAAAGCAGAATGCAGAGCAAAAAGCATAAAGACAGAATTTTCTGATGCGGAAGGGCTGAATATTCTACGGCAGGAAACTTACTGTTGGTGTCGTCACAGATGCAGACGTAGCCTGTCCCCCCTGGGACAGGTGTGGATACTATTAATGGATGTGTTCATGAATACGTACTTTGTTGCTGCCAGAGCAATTCGGGAATGAGATTGGGTTGAGCTCCCATCAAGCCGCTGGAGTGCCGTGTGCCATGCCGTGCCCAAAGTATACTATTTGTCTGAGTCATTACGGCAGGGAGCCCATGTGATTGAAAGTTGGGAAATGGGGAGTGGATGCTGATGCAAAGATGGTGTTGCGACATTAAGTTTCACAACAAATCGGCATTATCTACAGACCCAGCTGCAAATTGTCTGGCTGTGGCAGCTTGCTACGTGTGTCTGGAGTCACCGACACAAACACCACACAAGACACAGCCGGACTGAAGGTCAAACTCACTGTCAAAATCACTGACATCACCTCAGAAGAGCCTTGAGCTGAAAATTGGAAGTAGCGGACCTGTGCAGCAACAACGTAACAGTCTGCTGCAATGACCACTAGCCGCACAAGGCGACGACGACCCTGAACAACGCCGTGCATGTGGTGATATATGAGCCTTCAAATAGCAGGGGTCCGAAGCTGTGGGCGTGGCTGACTGGTGAAGCAGCCATTACTCAGACTGGACACGATCTTCCAATGCGGTATTGCTTTCACGTAGGCAGATTTGAAGAGGGCAGTTTTGAGCGCACCATATGATGCACGGGACACAGTTCAGCACACGAGTCACCCCAAAAATTGTCTCCACTTGCTTACCAACCATTAGTTAACTCATGTATGCTCCAAAGGTGACTGCAAATGGAACATGCCGAATTGGGAGAAAGTTTAGAATCAACCCTCTTCCAATGGCAAGCCCATGAGCGACCACTCTGATCTAGTCTGGGTCTTGATATGCAAACCGATCGATAGCTGGCACAGAACCGACAGGCAAGCATGTGTATCACAACTGGCAACACTGCGCTTACAGCACCAAGTCGTTTGCCGAGTGGGCAATCTCAAGGACAAGGACAGATAGAGATTGAGCTAGAGCTAAGAGCCACAAACTCTGACGTCGTCGACCTCAGCTGGTTGCAAAACAAAACTGGACCACCAACTGCGCAAGTTGCTTGATGTCTGGAAAGAAGCACTCCAGGTGCTTGGTGTAGGAAATGAAAACCCCTTGGCCGCAATTTGCAAGCATGCATGGCCCCTGCTGTGGCAGCTGCATGCTTCTGTAGGCAGCCCCACCTCATACCGCACCACCAAAAGACAAGGCCGGCAACTGCAAGGATGCAAAAGTTTACCATTCATTTCCAGCCACAGGCACTATTAGTGCGTCCCTTTGAATTCGTCTGCACATCGATTCATGTGCTTTGTCTAAACATATGTGCCCTGCGCCGACACTTTAAATGCTGAGTGTGGCTAGCAACAGACCAGCCATCATTCCCATTCAGCCTTCGATTGTGCCCCTTCTAGCATTCAATGCATGGCAGGAATGGCCCACATGGTAATAGCCAGGGTCAGTGATCCTTGTTCCAAGCGGCCGCTTCCACCTTCTTAAGGATAAAATATTCTCCATTCTCGACCAGCTGTTTGGGTGGCTCATTCTCCTTGACAATTCCCCAGACAACGATGGAATCATCGTCAGGGTCTGGCACCCCGACTATGCGCTCCGTGTTGAAGGATGTGACCTGGACGGGATTGTCTATAGTGCCAAATGGGGCACTCAACCTGGCAGAAAACAGTCCGGAACTTCAGTCACTGGGCATTTCAATGAATACAAGACAGAGAGATGCAGCACTGTCATCCAGATGTGACCTGCTATTTGTTCCAACGCAAACAATGGTGTCATTCGGGCGTTTGCCCCGAGATGCGCTTGGAACATTCGTACAATAAGTTCGACGGTGAAGCGCTGCAGAACACAAGGGTACACGGCGAACGCACAATAGGAGCCAAGCCATCTTAACATGTCACAGAATGATGAAGGCGCTGCCGCCGCTTCTCTAGCAGCTGGCAGCTGAAAGGATGATCCAAAGTCGATAGCAGACAGTGCTTTCGGGCAGCATGCATTCTCTCGCATCAGCAACCAGCGAAGGCAGCAGGTCAGATCGACCGAATCTGCTGTCGTCGCCGACAGATCAGCCGCACCACTCCTCCTCGAATAAACTAGCACCCTTTGCCTCGGCCTCCAACTCGATCCTGAGCACACACACAGCAGCTGCGCAAATCACGTCCCGTCATTGCATGGGGAAGCGCCAGAGTCCACCAGGCTTCATCTCCGTCACGAGCGGCCAACGGCCGACTTCGGGCCAATCCGCACCTCTCCAGGCCTGTCGCGTGCCCCAAGTCCTCCGCCGCCACGGCCACATCCGCTCCGCACGGCGCCGAGCTTCCGAACGGCGACGCGCGGTCACCCAACAACGACCCCATCAGTCGTCCAAGCCTCTGCGCGCACTCCGGTCATCAGCGCACAACCACGACCTGCAGACAACCAGCCGAACGGCGACCGCCTTTCGGCAGCCCTTCTCCGACCCGTGGCCGTCTCCTGAGTCTTGAGTACGGACTGGGCGGCGTCGGAATCAGGCAACCCCCCCCCCAGCCTTCCCACCTGTCTTGAGCTGGAATCCTCCGCCACGCAGGCCGCCTGGGCCAACCCCTGGCGGAAGACGGAAGCCAGGCGGTTCATCGGGCCGAGGGCGGCTGCCGGGAGCGGGAACCGACGGCAGGCCCCACCCGTGTCGGTGGGGGGATGGCCTGGGGGCGACGGCGGCAGGCCACAGGCCGGGCTACATGACACCGCATTTAGGGGCGAAAAGCCTCTTGACGCCGCCTGCTTAGCGACGAGTCATCTTCGCTGGTGCGCTGAAGGGCAAGAGATGTTCAGTGGGGCAGTCGCGCGGGCCATGCTGGGGTTGTTGGAGTCGAAAAAGCTCGGTGCCTGGCATTTTTTCTGGCCGCTCATGCGTGTTGGTATGCATCTGGATCTTTGCACACGTCATGGCCGACGAACTGGGTGTTTTGGATGCCGCCGGAGCGATGGTGGAATAGGCGGTGACAACGCACCAAGAGAATGTACGGCTCTGGCCACGTAGATGCTTCATGTAGCTTGGACTGTGGACAGGACAGCTGCATCGAGTGCTGAAGACCGCAGTGAGGAACACGTAGAGGCGTCAAATCTGGGAAAAGCGAAGGAAATGGGGAACTTTGCTCTGAATTCCCGCAGAACGAAGAAATGAGATATGATGGTATCAAGAGGATTTGGGGGCTCCGGGGTTGAGTATGGCCGTTAATCGCGAATGGGAATTGGGCACAGGCACTCGAAGTCCGTGAGGCTGAAGACTTGAGTGCCAAAGAAGCCCAGAAAGTGTGCCACCACATGCATACAGTGACTCAATTGTGCAGCGCGGCTGGTGTTCTGGGCTTTCGTTGTCTGTGTTGTGAAACGTTGTTTGAAGAACTAGCATGCTTTTGCCTCCCTTTTGTGTTTTCTGTTCACGCTTTTCATTGACGCACACGCCGAGACTCCTCACTGCTGAGTTCGCCAAGTTATCCGATATGAATGTGCACACGTTCTTGGCACTTCAAGAATCTGGTGCCACGTCATGGCAACAGGCAAGGGAACAGACAAGCAAGACATTTGAAGTGCTCTGATTGGGGCAGCGAAAATTGCACAGTCGTTGAGTTTTGCACCATGCGGCTGTTTTGCTGGAGTATTGCAGACAATGTGCGTTGCGCAATGTACACCAGTGCAAGTTTACTAAGGTGAGGAATACACGGCAGCTTCCTTGTTGAATGCAATGCATGCCATGCAGCCCTGGTGCTGCTTCAGTACAGGCGCCCACAGGAACACGTCATTGCGTGGGGCGAAGCGCCTGGACGCCTGCAGCCTTGTCACCTCTGAGGCCGCGTGCAAGAGATCAGCGTGCCAGAGTGTGCGTGGATGGATTATCGATGGATGGATGGCGAGCAGGTCCAGGATGGGCGTTGATACAGTCAGGTCGATCATACGTGTGGAGTCCTACGAGGGAAACGTTTTGATCATGCAGAAATGGTTCTTAGGGCTCAGACGACGGTATAACCTGTGCGGGGTCTCGAAGAAAGATCTGGCGTGGGCGACGCGTACGTGAAGGTCAAGTGTCGATGGCGGAGTAGTGCAGGCATGGGCTCAGCGCCACGCGTAGATTCAATGCCGTCGAATGGCCAGGTACAGCCAAAGCCCGCCAATTTGCTGGATTGGCTGTGGTGTTTGACGCGAGGATATGATGAGGAGCATTGGTCAATGGCCATGAGGGTCAATATACCGAGAATCTCGCTCCGAGATTCGGGGAAGTCATAGTTTGGTTCGGGGTGATGGAACGTGCCAGGCTATGCGCTAAACATTTCTGGAAACGGTGGAGAGTGTGCTTGGTGCTCTTGCATGCACTGGATTCCTGAGTATGGTAAGCTTGACACTCAGCTTTGTGCGTGGCGCAAAATGGGGTCTCGGTTCAGGTATGGAAGGAGTGCATGCAAGTTGATTAAATTGTGGGGCTTAAATTCTTGGCATTATCCTCCGTTGTGCGCCTGTTGCCATCCACACAATGTCTTCTGCATCCTCTGCTGTTGGCGAAGAGTCCGAAACACTCCTCTTCAGGAGGGCCAGCCCAGTGGATATACAGTGCCTTCATGCAGAAAGAGCTCTGAAGAAATCCACGCTTGCAGAGCCAGATGACAACAACTGCAATTCTCCTAATGACAGGCGATCTTTGGAGCGTTGAACCATCCTGCACCCAATCCGATATTTGCGAGTCCATGTCCTTGAACGCAGCGCCACACGTCCTTCATCAAGATAATGTTGCAATGTACAGAAACGAAGCACCTGTTCTGTCTTCCTGCCTTGGCATCAAAGAATAAAGAATTGTTGTATGCAAGAGCATTGCGAATCCACTAGGTTCCCTGCACAGCCTCCCAAGACCGTACCTGTCCGCACCCCACCACCACAGACCCCCATCCCCGCAACTGTTCAAACAAATTGTGTGACGAGCTCAGCTGAGGTTCGCCATTTCTTCCCGGAGAACCTTCACTACCGACTTGAAAGCAAACCATTCTGGGATATCCTCCCCAGCACGCAGCATCTTCCGGAACTGGGTACCTGAAATGCAAGCATCGTGGAGTCATGGGGGTGCATTCCTGGCGAGGCCACTTCAACAGGTGCACAGTTTTGCCAGACCAACTTGCCCACAACAACCCTATCCAAGACACTAACGGCCATGCTTTGTTTGTGACATTGAAGACAGTATTGACTGACACCACGGTTCTTCAGTGTGTATCCCCACCTGAAAGCTTGACCGTGTGGAGTCCCTCTTTCTCGGCCACATCAGCAGTCACATATCCCTTCTCTTCTGTATATGCAATGTTGAGAGATGGTACAGTCTTCATGCCCAGTTCAGATGCATGCTCGGCTGCAAAGTCCTGGGCTTCATATGCACCATAGAAGTCTTCTCCTGTGACAGTACTCTTGGAGCCAGCCATGTCACGCCCGATGATGAAGTGCGTGCAGCCTGTTCAGTCATCGCACATACCCAATCCACAGTGACCGCTCTGCACAAGATCATCCACCACAGTTCCAGCTCATGGTGTTCACCACAACATAGCCAAAGGCCTGAGCACGTTTTGTGCAGGGTTCTTGCCAGACAGTGCTGCCCATGCATTTCCAGCGAGATTGTGCTTCAGCAAGAACTGAGAGAACAAGCAGTGACAGAACCTCCGCTCTGTGTACAGCACACTGAACGAAACTTCTCATTGAAGCTCGCAGAAAAATGTAGTTGCTATCAAAGGTCCAGCTCTAAAAGAGCAGCTCCAGATCTACAAGAGAATGCCTTGTTGTACAAGTCAAGTGTGGGCAGCATTCTTCCTGACATGAAGCGCTGCTCTTCCATTACACATGGTTTTGCAACAATGCACTGGGGAAGCATGCTGAGACGACGCATGCAAGATGCAATCGAGTTGCAGGTGCACCAACTCCCGCAAGCCTCACCGTAGTTCTTTCTGATCATCATGTGCTGGATAGCTTCCCTGGGGCCTGCCATATGCATGGAGTATGGCAGATATGCCCACCGCAGGGCAGGATTGTTAGTCTCTGTCTTCAACACTTCGTAGGTGTGATAACGGACGATGCCAGGGATGTCATCGTCCTGGGTTGGTCCACAGGTTGGATGGACGAGGCATACAGCACCCTTGCCAACATTGTCCGCACCGAGCGCCCGCGTGAACAGCTCATAGTGAGCTCTGTGGATTGGGTTGCGGCACTGAAACGCCACGACATCTTTCCCCTCTGGGAGGGTGGCTCGAACTTCCCTTGGTGTGGCACAAGGGAACACGCGCTTTGGAAGCGTGAGACCCTGGATCTTGCCACCTGGATCCACAAAGCACATGTATGGGCATAGCTAGTCAAGCATCCAGGCCACTTGCTGTACCAATGGAAATCTCATGTGCAGGTCTATCAATCGAATACAGTGTGGGTCAAGCACCGGCAGCCACCTTACCTATGTAATATTTCCCTCTCTCCATGGACACCATTTGCACAGCAGGGTGTTCAAGCTGTGAGGTGCCATAGCACTTCAGGCACTCCAGGGGCTTGTTGGGGGTCCACTTGCTCTCAACAGTCATTATTGCCAGATCTGCACCTTGGTATTGCAGCAAGATCTTGTCTCCAACTGCAGTGTCTTCATCTACAGTGTCCAGCACAATGGGGAGGCCGAACACCACTCCATCCTGATTGAATGGGGCCATTCAATCAGTCAAATGGCTGTAGATTCGATTGAAAATTGCACAGGGTCTGGTTGTGACAGCACAATTTCCCAATCACTGTGCTGCACTATTGTAACCCACAGACATTAATTTACAAGTCCATGCAGGGGCTCCACAGCAAAGAGCATGGGCAATCAAGGCCACAGGTTCCAGAGACTCCCCACAAACCACAGGTTGCAAGGAACAGCGATCAAACCAGGTGTAACAGATGGGGCATTTGCTAACATTGCCAAGCCACACACTGCAGTTCCACCACTTACAGTAGTGTGCATGGTCTCCACAACTGAGTTGTACTCATCTTCGTTCATGAATCCTTCCAAGGGGGAGAAAGCCCTGGTGCACGCCACAAAATTTGAAAACACAGCCAAAACCATAGCCATGGTGGTTCCAGTAACAATACCTGGTGACCAAAGCTGAAAGGCATCAGCCTGTGGGCCCCAGATTCCAACATTTGCCGCATCCGTACAACCACATGCTCTGGAGGCTTCCAGACTGGATGAAATAAAGTGCAATTGCCGGGACTGCAACCGAGATGTTGCACTTTGTGTGCCTGTTACAATCAAAATAAATCAAAGAGCCTGCATGCCCATGTCAACTTCAACACGCCACTGCCATGGACGACCTCACTGCAATCTATTTCCATGCCCACACCAATTCCAATCAAGTTGTTGCACATCGCAATGGAGAAAACACAAGGCATGGCAAACCTCCACTGGCACATTGCGATCCTCTCTCACCCCACGACAAGAAGCTCCACATCGCAGGCATTCCTATCACTGAGTTCCATGGTCTTGGAGCACGCCGCCGCTGCCCGAGCCTTCTCAGCTTCCGGCAGCATCAAGTCCACGAGTTTGCCCCCATGCGGCGCCTGGAGACCAGATTCTGTGGCCACGCCCGCTGCCGCCCTGCGTTCAGTACGATAACAGCTCACAAGGCGATCGACCAAGTGGTGGCGCCCGAACGAATGAGTGGATGATTCACAAATTTTGCGTTGTCCCGGAAAAAACAAAGGAGAAATCCCCTTCGGCACGAGTTCCTAGCAAATACGAAGCGCAACCTTCGGCTCGGCAGTAGACAGACGGCCGTCAACACAGCAACTGCGAAAAGCGACGCCTCCCACACAATGGACAAAGCGCCCTCGCCAGACGCCAACAACTCACCGTACGATCACTGCCTTCCTCCCTGAGGACCTCTGCGGCGCCTTGACCTGCAGCGGCGCCCCTGTGACCAACAAGGACCCGTCTCCAAGGTACCGATGACGGCAGGCATCCCTGGAAGGGGCGGCTGGGGGGAACTTGCTGGCGGCGCACGGGGCGGCGGCCTTCACGAGCGCCGGCGACCTCCCGCAAGAGAAAGTTGCCATGGCTGGTCGGCGGCGGGTTCTGGTTCCGGTTTGGGGGGAGGGGGGTGGGGGCTGCGTTCCAGGGGTCTCGCGGCAGGCGGACAAGACGGTGTTGGACGCGACGCCTTTGGCAGGTGGGACTTTGGTGCCTGCGGCCTGGCCCACTACTGACACGTGGTGGGCGCAGCGGCTGACACGCATGCGGATATTCGGCCGCTCCCTAGCTGAGCTTGCGGCCAAACATTTCCTTGTTTTTGGAATTAACTATGCTGTTAGTGGGTTTCTGCCGGTTACTATTTTTTTTTGCGACAGTGGACTATTCTTTTTTGCGACAGTGCCAAACTACTCTTTTTTGCGACAGTGGCGATAATTGATGCGCGAGATGCTGGCATCAGATTTGCCACACCACCCCAGCCCGGTCCACGGGGCCTCCTCTCACAACGGCGCTGAAGGCGCGTCTGTTCGGAGAAGGGACCACAAGGCGAAACGGGAGCGTTTGGGGATGCCCAGGGTCCCCACCTTGCGGAGAGGGGCTGTCGCTGTCTTTCGGCGATCACTTTGGCGCAGCCGATTGGCCGAATTGGCTGTGGTTGGAGCCCCCCCTTCCTCCCCAGCTGTGTTTTTGCCGCGCTAGCCCCTTGAAATGTGCGCAATTGGCCACACGGGGCGACGGCGCCGCCAACTGGGTCTGGAGAGCGTTGCTCGTGCTGCCGAACGGGGAGGCCATGGCGCTGGTTGCCAGCGCCATTGCCGTCCAAGCATCGACCAAAAAGGCGCCCAGCGCCGTTGACTGGTCACACGACCAGGTTTTACTGCCGGGTGGGGGCACGCCCTGTGAGCCACGATCTGTGGCGGGCTGCCACTGGCGGCATTTCAACGCTAGGCGCAACCTAGTGCCCATTTGGCGCCGCCCGGCCCTGTGCATCACCCAGACCCCAGACAAGCACAGCGTTGACTCGTGAAGTTCGAGCAAGAGGAACAACGATCCCTCGGGCAGCGAACAACAGCGACATCGGCTGGTAGCGGCCAGTGGCAAGTGGCGGGTGGTGGGGGGCGGGGGCGAGCTGGTTCGAAGGCCCCGCCGCCTTCCCAAGCTGTGCATTAGTCACATTCGTTGTCGCAAAAAAGAACAATCCACTGTCGCAAAAAAGAGTAGTTTGGCACTGTCGCAAAAAAGAACAGTCCACTATCGCAAAAAGAAATATTCACCGTTTCTGCCGGGTGCCGGCCATTTCGTCTGAAGACAACTCGTCTAACGGTGTTCGATTACAGTCCATTCTGCTCAAGTAAATGGCCACCACTGTAATCGAGAGAAAACCGTAGAGAAAGGAAAGGTCAATGTGCTCAGCAGAAATCACATTGAACCGCATGACATACGGTTACATTTAGCGGTCATGCAGCTGCTGAATGATCAAGGCAAACGTATGCACACTCAGCTTCTCTCTAGTGCACACGAATTGATGCATTTACAGCTGAGATGTCCTCCATCTCGCTGTTTTGCAATGCCGCTCATCAGAACCGTCCAGAATGAGCAACAATGACGTTAATTGAAGAGCGCTCTACGGGCAGCACGGACGGCTATGACTGGGCTGTGAACTGGTCAAGGAAAAGGGCGAAAACTAGTCAGCTGGAGCCGCATGCTGACGGGATACAGTACAGTTTGACGGTGATGGAATTTGGGTGTACAGAATTGGGTTTAGTATGCGATTATGGTAGATTGTCCAGTACTATTAGCCGGGAAAAAAGAGGCACGGTGTGTGCAGGGCGTGTGGTGATGGACCCTGAGTGAGAGGTTGGCCGGTTTGTGAGGGCCTTTTGAGTGACTTTCAGAGGGAAAAAGGGCCAATTCCTGACCCGTTTTGGGGAGACCATGAACCGTAGGGGGTGTCCTTGAATGGACCTGAACTTTTGCAAAAGGTCCTAGGACCTTGATGGGACAGGTACTGGCAGGGTATAGGGGTCCAGTGAGGCGTGATGGGACGTTGGGTGCGGCTGCTAACAGTATTTTGTGGTTTTGCACCTGTACGGGAGACCGCCCTTTTGATATTTCGTGTAATGTACCGTATGTCGGACGTGACCGCGCCCCCCTGCATCTGGTCCCCGCGGGTTGCGCCTGCGCCCCGCCTACGCCCGCTCTGCCCGGTCTGCTCAGCGCGCCGCAACACCCCAGCCTCCCCGACTGTGCAGGGACCGTCGGAAGCCCTCCCTCGCCATGGCCGGAGCATCCCCACGTTCCGCAGGCGGGTCGAACGTGCTCGCGTTCGGTGTGGGCGGACCCTCCGGTTCCGCCATGCTCCATGGCGGAGCGGTGCTTTCTCTCCCTCCGGGGATATTTGTGGATCCGTGCACGCAGGGACAAAGGGGCCCGGGCGAGCCTTTGGTCGGCCCGGACGAAGCGGGCAAAGTGGTGCTCGCGTGCCGCAATGGGCTTGGTGGGGCGGAGGCATGGGCCATGGCCTCCGGCCCCGGAACGCCCCTTTTTTGGATCCACTCCGCTTTTGATGCCACGACTCGGTGGCGAGTAAGGCACCGGAACGGCCAGCTGTTTGCCGTCCGAGCTTACTGGGTCGCGGCGATCCCCAACGTTCGGTTGGGCGATCGGCTCCGGCGGAGCGTCTTCGCCGCGAATTGGCGCGGCGAGGGCGTTTGGAGCATCTCCGAGCGAGATGCATGGATGGCCGCCGAGCGCGACGGCCCGGACAGCCCGCCCGCGCCGTTCGCGTGGGCCGGGGAGGGGTGCGTGGGCGGCCTCGCCGAGGGAGACGGGGGGCTGCCGGTGGGGATGGTGGAGCGCGCCACTCGGGCGTACTGGAGGGTGGTCGCTGCATCACGTTGGAAAGCTTACGTAACAGCTGAGTGGGAGGTGGAGCTGCCAGGCCCGGAAGGAAACTGGATGATGCAGAGGGTACAGTTAAGGGCCCGTATGTCGTACATGGGGGAGAATGAGGTGGAATGGATTAGGCAGCCGGGAGACACTACCCACTACGGAACTGTGGGGTGTGATGGATGTACTTGGGATGAAAAGTGCATTAGGTGTATTTTTTGTTTGGATAGGGGGGTTCCCCCTAGTTTGATTTTTCAGGAACCTACAGCGGTTAGTACTTCGCAGCGTGAGTGGGAAGAAGATGTACAACAGTACATTTTCATGGGAGTGCTGCCAAGGGGTGCTGACGGATGTTGATTAATATTGTAGTGGGCAAAAGTGACTTTTTTGGTTGTATTGGGTGACCCTTTGAAAAGGGTCAACTTGGAGAAGGTCAATGGGAACTTCTGAGGAGTACGAGGGGTACTGGCGCCTTTTCCTTGATGTGTCTGTTTGTTTATCCAAGGGTCACTGAAGTGTAGTGCCCTTGGAGCTGGCGGGGGTATTTAGGAGGGAGTGTTTGGGGTGTGGGTGCCCCCTCTCCCCTCTCTCTCCGCCCCCCACCCGTCCGTTTTTGGTTCTGGCGGTCGGAACGGCGGGTGCTCTGTTGAAAACGGTCGTGCTGTGAGTGTGTGGAGGTCGAACGTGGTCGAAGGGAGCAGCTGTGTAACGAGCACTTTCGTTTCCGTGTGCCTTCGCCTCCTGACCCTCCAGGTCAATTGTCCTTGGGGTTGTGCACCGCTGCACATACCCATAGCTCGACGCCGAGCTCGATTCCCATTCCGTTGACCGAATGACCCGCGCGCGCCCACGTTGGGCGCTGACTTCGTCGACTCAACGACCCGTCTTCATCGTCCGCTGCTTGGCGAGTGAGTGGAGCGCAGCGCTGGACCGCAGGGAACGAGCATCGACGACATCGGTTTGAGACATCTGGAGAACGGTCAGTACGCTCGTCATACTGAGCTACTGAGTGAGGTGTGGAGCATCGTTTCGCAGTTTGAGCGTGTATTTTCGTGCCTCTCGTCGAGCTGGTCAGCAGTTGCATGTTTCTCGTTGTATGTGAACGGCTAAGGTGAACTTGAACACGAAGTTCAGCTCTGGGGTTGCGCCTCGCTTCGGCAGTGCTCGACCACACCCCAAGTATCCTGTTGGGCTTGAATTTACTTGCTGTGGTGATTCTCGTTGTCCTGTGAGTGTTTATGAACTAAGTTGGTAAAAGTGCAGGAGCGGAACGCTCAGAAATGCTGGGCGATTGACAGGGCTGTAATAGTGGCTGTGTCATTAGTGACTTTCGTTGAGCGTATATGGCTGGACGGTGAGCCATATTGCTGTTCCCAAGCGTAGACACCCTCCTGGCGGTATTTGTCAGCTGTTTGTAACATCATGGCACTCGAACAACGGACAAGTGGTCTAAGGACATTATGTCTACTAGACAACTCGTCCAAAATTCCGTTGACCCAAGTTGGCTTGCTCATATTCGCATCGCACCTTCTATCGGGGGTCCTCACCCGTTCAACGCGTTCCCCTAAACACAACACCAACTCATTCATATTCGCATTCCAAATTAAACCTGTGGCCCGAGGGCCCTCACTCATTCTATGCATTCCCCTAAACCTAGAAACCAACTCACACATATCTGCATTCCAACTCAACCCGGTGGCCCGAGGGCCCTCACCCGTTCAACGCATTCCCTTAAACCCAAAACCAACTCACTTATATCCGCATTTCAACTCAAACCGTGGCCCGAGGGCCCTCACTCGTTCAGCGCATTTCCCTAAACCCAAATAACAAACTCACTCCTCTTTGTATTCCAGCTCAAGCCGGTTGCCCAAGGGCCATGTGGAGCTTCAACGCCCTTTGTCTGCGAATTAATTCCTATTGTGGATTGGGGTCGCGTTGGCCAGCCTTTCCTGTCGATCCGCCTTCTTGCCTCGAAGGATCTGCTTGCTCCCTCGCTGCCAGTCGGTCTGCCATTCGGTTGCCTCTATCATCGCTCTATAGCTGCCAATCGACGCCCCTCACCGCGCCAAGCCACGCCACATCCGCCAGCCACATGCTTGGACTGCCGCGCTCACCCTCCTGTGTTGTCCCGCCCCCTATACGGGCGTCAGGAACGCGCCTAACAAACAGTTCGGAATGCAGCCGGCCACAAGCGGAA